ATGGAGTGTAGTTCATAAGAAGGAAGAAACAGCTGTCTTTATGCCTTTTATGACTTAATCGACTCAAAATAACTTTCATGACTTTCTTGGCTTTAAACACCATCAAAATCATTCGTTTGAAATCTTATATGTATTACTTTATTCAAATATTTACTCTAAATTCTGACATTCTACAGATTTTTTAACAATGAAAACAATCACAATTTTGATTTTTACTTTGGCAATACCTTGAAAAATGAATAGTAGCTGAATTCGGATCCGAGTGTTTACGAACTGGGTTTCATTTCAAAAGAGATTTGCACGTTACACTTTTTGTTACAAGTACAACTGAACGAGCTCTAAACAATGTTTGAAATTTTTCATAGAATGGGAGCATGTGCAAGCGTGGGTGAGTAGGTAGATGCGTATGTCAGTGCGAGTAAGAGATGAGGGTTGGCTCTTCTAGTTCTACACATTCAGATTCATCCACACAACTGCAACAACTTTCTATATCCGCACCCACACTCATACCTAAAAAAAAACATTAATCATCTCTGTTGACAATGTTACTTGCGATCGATTAATTTTTGTTATATTTCTAATAAGGCGTAATAAATATTGAACATTATTCGCTATTGATATTCTTAAAAAAATACTTTCAGCATGGTTTTGTTGATCACTGTGAAACTTTTCAATGGACCTGCGATGAAAAAGTATCCGATGGAAAATTTTCAATCACATGATGAACCGTTTGATGAACGAATGAACATAGTATTGCAAGCAATTGAAAATGCCTGCTATTTAATGAACGAAAATCAATTGGTAGAAAATAACTCTTATTTAAATAAAAAATCAATTCGATCAACTGATCTTGTATGTATATGCTTGACCATCAAGGATTGTATGTAGTGTAGTGTATTTGAAAGAAATGAATCATATGAAATAGTAATTTGACTGTATTGATATTGCAAAATTGTTGGATATTTGTTAGATAAATCTTTATAAATTGTCTGAGTTGGATTTTGAATTGCAATTGTTTGATTTTGTCCTTTAACTAAAGTATACCTGATCGCAGAGGTAATGGATATGTTGAGTAATAAAATATAGACTCCTATCGGAATAATTGCTGTACCCTGATGAAATACATTCGAAAGAGAAATTTTATTTCCGAATAAATTATGTTGAATTATTTCTGTTGTGAATTGAGTAATATTAAAATGTATTTGTGTCACGCAAAATTGAATCATAAGCAAGATTAGATCTAGACTTTCAAAATTTAAACTGTTAAACAACATTGAATCTCACTATTTTAGTGATTGATGCAAAGTCGTGAAATTACCAATTTTATGATTTTAATTCAAAAATATATAGTAAATTTGAGATGTGGAGTTCGCTGGTCTTTTCTATTCAAATCATCATTAGATATAGGAAGATGTTGAGTTCGCTAGGAGAGAATGAGAACAAAATGAGAATAAAAAAAATATGCGAAATATGATTAATAACGATATGTTTTGAGTATAGTTTTTTTTTCCTATTAAAGATAATAACGAGAAAAGGTAGATGTCAATTTTTATTTTTTTGATCCATAACTTGTTAAATGAATAGCTACATTTCATTCCTATTATAGGAAAATAAGAGATAGTAATCAAAAAGCTGATATCATATGATATTAACGAAATCAAATTAATGTAAAATATTGACTTTTTGAAATTGTTTGTTATAAGAGTAATTTTCTGGTTTGTACCCGACCAATAAACAGGAAAAGAAGAAGAGAACAGGAGAAAAAATGAAAAAAATATAAATCTAATTAATTAGTCACAAGAGGGGGTGGGGGTGGGTGTGGCGGTGGGGCGTGGGGGGGGGGTGGGGGGATGG